GTCACAGTATAGGGAAGAAAAGACTTCCGTTTCATGCCAACTTTTAAAAAGTGTCAATTTCAAAAGATTGCTCTAACAATGAGTTCAAACAACAAACTTCACAGTATAGCAGAAAAAGTTTACATTTACTTAATTTTTCTTTTGTAAGTTTTTACAAGTAAATTTCACATATGGAATTAAATCAAATCTGCTTAACTAAGAAAATAAGTAACCAGTTAAAGTTAGTTGAGTAATCTCTACTTAGTTGATGTTTACTTTGCAATACACTGTTTCAAGTAGGTTACATTTTAGCTATATAATACTGAATTAAGCCACATTTTTACAGTGTATGCTTTACTAAGAACATTTAAGTAAATTATACAGTTGATATTAAGCGGACAACAAATATTCATAAAAAAACTAATGTCATTTTCTCGAACACAGACATCTCTTGGTACACAATGCACAATAACGGTAACATTTTGGATAATTTCTGAGTATGTTATGAGTATAAAATGAACTCCACACGTTACAAAACAGCAAGTTACTAATCCTAACAACAAAAGCAACAATTAAACAATGTAAATACAGCTGGAAAACAGTGACAAATGCAACTTTATTAATTATTCATGCCTCAGTGCATGATGGGAACACCAGTATCAGAAAGTTGAGTAGGTTTAGTACCTAATTTACTAATGGTGATATTAACGCTTTAATTTCTTAAATGAAGTAGGCTACTAATAAAGAATTTAGCCTACGGGTTTTTTTTAATTCCTGCCCGAACTAACTTATTCAGGTATAAATTAGGCTTGTTTTTTCTGTATTATTTCACCACAGAATACTTTGTTTATCAGTGATAGCACCAGAGCAATACAAATTCATGTATAAAGCATGTGGGCATAAAGTGATACAGATCGAAAACTGCAAAGATGTTGCAATTAAGTTAATCGCTGTGACTAGCATGAAAATATAACGCAGCCAATAAAGGTGAGGCGTACCGTCTGCCCGAAACCAACACTAATAAATCGGCTTCTTGCAGAACTGTTAGGCCTATATCAAATATTCAATATCTTGTGCCATTCAGGAAGCCTCAGGCAGGCCCTTTTTAACGCACTGTGGATTTTCGACAAAAGCTAGCTAGCAATTTAACATCTCATGCACACTGGCCATTCTTTAATCTCTTCACTCCCTTTCCTATTCTCCCCTCACCATCTCACACTTCTTCCACAGAGCATTGAGAACGCTTTCTTTTGGAAGGACTCGGGTAGCGCCCGCTATTTTTACATTTTTCATCAGGCAACCATGGCGACGGCTCACAACATTGCCTCACACAAGTCCTAATGACATAAGCGCTCTTTCCTGGATGCAGTCTCCCCGGCTCCATCCCTGAACAGACTTACTCAAAACTCATCTGCTATTGTACTCTCTCACTGTGTGGCTATGGAACCACCAGTGTCAGCATTAGAACCTTCTGGAATTCTCATCCAGGGGAGAGAGATGGTTCCAAACCTTGCCTCAGTCTCTCCAGGGCTCAGAGCTAAGGCACCTCGTATGGATCATTTATTTTGGTGGTGGCCACCAGAAATTTGCTCTCAGTTTTTTTTTCACCCCATGTGTTTCTTCATAATGCAATGACGTTGATATGAGTGCATCATGTGTGGGTTTCTTCAGTCACTATGATCACTGGATCATTTTTTAGTTGCTATTTTGGGTGTTGCCAATTCCAATTATAGTGCTTGTGTATTTGTATCCTTACAATCCCATCACTACTAATTTATGTGATAAATTAGTCATCCAGGACAGGTTGGTTTATTTCCACAGAGGGATTAGACCAATAGAACAACCAAACAAAAATAACAAACCCCCATAAGTTACGACTTGTTGATTTTGTGCACCCATAAAAATAATAATAATAAATAAAAAACTTTACTAACATGACTGACATTAGACGTAATAATAATTTACATTTTTATGCATTTGGCAGACACTTCATCCAAAGTGATATTGCATTCAGGTAGTAGCCTATGCCTAGATACATTTGATCAGTTATCAGATGCTGCTGCTGATGATAATAATAATAATAATAATTCCACTGATTTTGTATGTATTGTTGATTTGACAATACTGTAAAACAATCATGCCATAAATAAATAATAATAATAATAATAATGTTCAACTGAATAATGAAACTAAATTAAAATAAAGAACGTTTCCATAATCACACTAAAGTTCAGTCAATGCACATCTTTGGTTTTATAATCAGATAAACAATACAAATACGATGCCGTATATTTCGGCAACGAAATGTCATGCGAACTGCGCAATCAGTGCGCAACTTTGACGCAAAAATACATTTGTGACCGAACACGGAAGTAGTTCAAAGAAACTCCCGCGTAGTTCGCATTGTTTTGGATAAGCCATGTGGTTCTGATAGAGATGCAGATCTGAGTGTTTACAACTGAATGGCTACGATGTCTAAACTGAAGAGGAAGAAATTATCAGTTGAAGAGAGTAGATCCGAGCAGCACCCGAGGATCAAGAAGTCAAATGACAGTTTGTGCACAGTGCAGGACAGTAGCTGCAGCAAAACATCTAACAGTAGCTGCAGCAAAACATCTAACGTTACAGGCAGGTAGGAAGCCTGATACTGCATTTAATACTCAGCAAAGCAGCTCTCTTTATAATAATATAATATACAATTAATCTGTAACAGTTGTACTGATATTTGGACATAACTATTTTATATTCAATGCTACAGGGAGAGATGGTGGGAGAGTTCTGAATTAAGTGAAGCGGAGAGACTCTGGGCTCTTACCTTGAGAGCTCTTTGCCCAGCTCTACAGTCAGATCAGGAAGAATCTATTCCACAGCTCCCCCCACCTTCATCCACGGTAATACATCGGGTTATCATGATAAAAGGGGAAGGGTTCGATGCTTGTATGAGAATAATAAATGGTTTGACATGCAATATAACAGATATTGTAGTATTTATGCAATACAATCTCATACGGTTGTATGACCGTATTTAATACAGCATGAATGATTTGTGAGGTGTTAATTTCTGCACTGTGTCCTGAAATGGATGTTGGATGCAAATGGAGACTGTACGGTCTAGAGATGACCTCACACAGTAACTTTGAGGCAAATGCACTGAACACTTCATTCCCTTCACCAAAATAAGATTAGGAGGGAAGGGAACATGAATTTTTATTTTTTATTTTTAATGGTGCAATATGCCATAAAAAATAAGAATTGTCCATTTTGATTTCATGGTGACTTTAAAAGCAGGACCCACCCTCTGAGACTGCAAATCTCACATTTTCCTTTGTACATGGGAAAAGTAGGCTTGATGTTATTTTCCATGGAGATGAGAGGATGAACACTACTGAATTGTCCTTTCCAGAATGATCAACAAGGCTGTAGTGTGCTTTCCTGGTCAGCATGTTTATGTAATGAATGGCATTTTCCATGAAAATGGTACACTTTGGTGTCCCATTACTTAAAAACACATAGCAAATAACATGTGAGAAACAAATCCCAAACAATTAAAACCATACAGCAATATCAAAATGTAGTCATCTGTTTAATTGATTCAGTTTATGGTTTTAAAACCCCATTTTTAATTAATAACTATTTTATTAAACATAATATTTAGCTGTGTCCCTTTATCATTTGTTTTCATGGGGAATAATTATTTGTATCATTTTAAAATTGTATAAATTACTTTTTGGTAACAGGTTTGCAAAAAATATTTATGATATATTTAGTTTTCTCTTATAAAATATATAATATGTAATTGTATCTCCTAAGGTTGATGATCAACATTGTCTGAAGGTTAATAAGCACCTCCTTTCATTGACTGATGGAATGATGGAATGTTTAAAAAGGCAAGGGATTTTCTGGAAAAATATGCAAGCAAGTGTTAAAAGTTTTCTGGCATAACATTTTTTCCCCCATTGATTCTCTGTTATGTCATCATGACAACATACCTTGATTTGACTGTTGTTCAGAGCTATTTACAAAGCTGGTATCCAAGCAGCACCAAATATATTATGTGTAAATTATGCTGCTAATGTAAAGGTCTAATTCACAAGTTTGATAATTTGTGTAATACAGGTTGATTTTCTCTCTATTTCGTCAGGAAACTCTTGTACAAAAAGTAAGTGATTGGAGATGGTGCAGTGCAAATGAAGATGCTGAATCCCCTCCAGATCTCCCAGCTCCATCTTTCCTGACTCACTCACCACCAGTGAATGACTGCAAGAACCCTTCACAACCTCCAGCAGCAAAGAACATGGGGGAATCTGACTCACCAGCACTTGCCGATCAAGAGAATTATACATCCTCACCTGATCAGGAGAGTGTGTCAGTATGTGACATACAAACTGCTCAGCAGTGCCACCTAGAAGACAAAGTGAATTGCATTGAGGGTCGTGAATTGTCAGACAAACATGGTGACAAATTTGGCCAAGCAGGGAAAGTCTCCGAAATTCAAGAGCTTACAAGATGTTCTGAATCTGGATTGGATGCAGAATCAAGAGCAGGAATAGATGCAAGATCAAGAGCAGGAGGATCTGGAGCAGGATCAAGAGCAGGAATAGATGCAAGAGCAGGAGGATCTGGAGCAGGATCAAGAGCAGGAATAGATGCAAGAGCAGGAGGATCTGGAGCAGGATTAGATGCAGGATCAAGAGAAGTAGGATCTGGAGCAGGATTAGATGCAGGATCAAGAGAAGTAGGATCTGGAGCAGGATTAGATGCAGGATCAAGAGAAGTAGGATCTGGAGCAGGATTGGATACAGGATCAAGAGCAGGATTAGATACAGGATCAAGAGCAGGAGGATCTGGAGCAGGGAAGGGTACAAAAACAGGTGCAGGTGGATATGGATCAAGGCTAGGAACAATACCTGGAACAGAAGGATTAGTATCAGTCATTGGTACAAAACAAGTAGCAGGAGTATCTGGATCAGGCCAGAAAGCAAAATCTGCAGCAGGAGGGTCTGGAACAGGGCAGTGGGCAATTTCAGGAGTAAGAGGATCTGGATTAGGACTGGGATTAAAATCTGGAGTTGGACAGGGAGCAAAATCAGGACTTGAAGGATATGGGTCAGGGCTGGGAAGAAATTCAGGAGCAGGTGGACCTGGATTGGGGCAAGGAACAAAATCAGGTCCAGAAGGATCTGGAACAGCGTCTGGATCAGGACTAGATTGCTGCCCGATGTGTCTAATACCATTTTCTGAAGGGTGAGTGAACGTTTCATATAAAGAAGTTAAAAAAATTCCATTCACCAAAGTTGATTAACTTCACAATGCAGAACCAGGGTTGACAACAAAATCAATGAATTATTCAATGTAAAGTTATTACATTTGCTTCAGCAGCAACCCAAAATGTTGCATGGGTGGCTTCCTTGAAAAGGCATATACATTCCTTCAAGGCATATAACCTACAATATCCCAACATTTCCCAATTTGGCTTGGCTAGAGAAGAACATTGTCGGTGGTTGGTTTTGGCAAATAGTCTTATTGGAAAACCATACGAATAAATTGACAGAATGCAATACCTGAGTTTTCAGATGCCAATTAAACAGGCAAGACTCTCCGAATTCAGGTGTTTTGCAGAACAGCAACACAAACTAAGAAGCAGGGGATGTGATCTGCTGTCATTGTAGAGTTGATCCATGTTCTAGAACACCAGAGACTAGAAGACTGAGATCAGCTTTGGCATTAGAGATGTTAAGCTGGCCCTTTAGGTAAAGCCAGAACATACATACGCTCACTCTCATGAACCCCTTGGCAAAACTAGGCTGTAAGATGAAGTGTTGGTGGACGGAATCATGCATTCCATCACCTCTTTTTAAATTGCCAAAATAAAATTAGTCATTTGTTGGAGAAAGAGATTTTATTTTCCCTAAGTGAATGGATTTGAGTGTTTGCGCCTTGGGTGCTGGTGGAGCATTCCGAGATGGATATCACAGCCACGGTTATGTAACTCGCTCCTGGATGTGATGTCATCCCTGCAGATGTAGAGCAGAGGATCCAGTTCAGATGGGATTTAAATTTGATGCTTTATGAACACTTGATTCTTTATTTTGATTGATGAACATAGCAACGTTTAGCAGCTGCTCTTGTTGTTGTACTATAGTATGAAGTACGCAAAGTATTACACAACACGTAACATTGAATTGAGACTTAATGATGAGGCGGTACAGTGATTGTTTTAGATGGTAATACCCTGGTACTTTATGATAAACTAGACTTTAGATTTACACAAATTAGTTATATTATAATTAATTGAAATGAGTTGGGTAGTTTAAGAAGAAATACTTTTGGAAAGTTGGCGTCTTGCAATGTGACATGATTTAAACCGCATTTTTCTATTTTATAATTATGCATGCTGAGTTCTTAATTAAAAGACAACATAATATTTGTACTTTTATTCATAAAAATAATAAATATTTCATTCAAAAAGGCATTTTCCATCGAAGGACCATTTACGGTATAAGAAATGGGAGTTAGGACTCAGGTTCATTTTTTTAAACTTAAGTTAAAGCATTAAGCTTCAAGCTAAAAACTTGTTAAATTTTTGTTCACTTTTAAATCTTTAATGTTATTGGTAACATCAAAGTAGATTTAAACACTTTACTAATAAGGTAACACTACTAATAATGTCTCATTTGTTAACATCAGTTAATGTATTAACTTACTTGGAAAATAGTTCACGGTGTATTAACTAATGTCAACAAATACAACTTTTAGTTTAAAAAACTTATTAGTATGTAGAACTTAGAAAGACCTACAGTATATTAATAAATGCTGTAAAAATATGATACTTAATGCATTAACTTATATACTTAACGAATTGAACTTTGTTGTAAAGTTTTACCTGATTATCTTTGCAGATTCATATACTTTTTAAGCACATTCACATGATGTTGAATTAAAAAGTCAAGGGAACTGTTATATAGCCTGTATAACCACATACCAGTTTATAGGCGTCATTTTCACCTCGCTGCCATCTTTAATCAATGCCAACTCTCCAGAAAGGCCGTTTATGAACTTTTCTGCCTGTGAACTTTGGAGCACTTCTCAGAAAAAGGAAACACTATGTTGAAACATGGCAGACTGTGAGTGTACTTAAAGAGAGGAGGAAGAGAAACTCTAAGAAGGACAGTTATTCATCAGAACGGGTCAGAAAGTCACCAGATTCTTGCGAGGTCCGAGAGCAGCGCTCCTTCGGCGTGGTGGGCAGCGCTGAACGGCGTAGAACAAGGCAGCACTTTGTTGGAGGTGCAGGGCTGGCGTGCGCCGCTGCCCGCTCTCTGCCCGCCGTGTGTACATTGGCCAGACTGCAGAGCACAGCAGAACACAGGCGGCCCCGTGAGAGAGACACAATGAACGCTCTTGTCTAGAGAAGGACACATAGAGAAAGAGGCAGATATAGAGAGCGAGTTTCCGAGGGCGTCGATACAAGCGGAGGGCAGGACTGGTGAAGAGATGGAAATCTTGATGGAGCGAATCAAGGGAACTGGTGGGTTGGCACGTGTAGATTCACAGAATGGTTTTGAGGTTTGCTGCTGGGAAGCATCAAGCCGTCTGGGTTGGAAAAGGGATTAGAGAGGAAAGGAAGGAGTCAAAAGGGAAAGGGGATACAAACAAATGAATGCGAGTGAAATTGAGTGTCGTTTTTTGGGGGAGAAAGGATCTGTCGTTCTGAATCGTACGAGAAACGGTCATTGGAAAGTCAAATTTGAGACTTGGTGACCTCGCAGTTTATGTGTGCTTGTTAGCTGGCAGTGTACTATAATAAATGATTCCCCGGTGGTTTCTTTTTGTGTGTGCAGTGCACACATCAGTAAACTGCTATAAGATTTATTCACTTGTAGTTTTCTGTCTGCTACTACAAAATGCCACCAACCGTTCATTAGGATTAAAGGGTTAGTTCACCCAAAAATGAAAATTCTGTCGTTTACTCACCCTCAAGTTGTTCCAAACCTGTATGAATTTCATTCTTCTGCTGAACACACACACAAAAAATGTGGTAACTAATTGTTGATGGGCCCCCTTAACTTACACCATAGTATGAAAAAAAAAAATGCTATCCAAGTCAACTGTTTGGTTACTAGGGCTGTCACTTTTGAGAAAAATCTAATTCGAACGGTTATCAAATATCAAGCAATGTATTCGAATATATTCGAATTTCTACGAGCCCCGCCCCCACAAAAAACAAACAAACAAACAAACACCCTAACGGAGATTCAATCACAAATTTATTAACAGTCTGACAGTCATAAACAGGACTCAGGCCTGTCTGAAAAAAAAAATTTTGACTTAATGTTTTAAACAGCAGGTTATCAATTTAATATATATGAAGTGCCACTAATGCCGAGTTCAGACTGCACGATTTTCAAAATAATCGGGTCACTGTTGTTTTCACACTGCATGACTATCTGGGGTAACATTCAGTTGCTGCTGTGTTCACACTGCACGATGGATCGGCGACAGGAGGTTTCACACTGCATGACTTTACAAAAGAAAGAATCGCCGACAACTTCTGCCTGGTCCGCAAACTACGTTTCACAACCAAACAAACGCGAGAAGTGATAAGGAAATAACGGAAGATCACGCATGCGTGAGACCGGAGTTCTCGCGCGACACTGAATTTGTTATTAAAAATGATAGCCTACAAGAAGATTGTGATCCAAATAGTCTATGCACTGATTTGTAGCGAAAATGAAAAAAATAAAAATAAACAGTTTATGCAGGAAATGGTTGGGAAGACGAGGAGAGCAAGGACTGTGTTTTGCAAAGAGAGTTGGGGGTAAATAAATAATTTTGCAAATGACGTCCTGCTGGTCATGCAAATATTTGTGCTTTGTTTCTGTTTGAAATAATTGTAAATATAGGCCTATCTATTAAAATACTGATATTCTGGTCTATAACTCCTCCTCCTCCTCCCTGTATCTTGCTCTCTCATTGGCTGTCGGTCATCGCCGATGTAGTTTTCAGTCAGAACACATTCACACAGCAGGATTGTGAATCGCCGACAGGTCCAGATATTTAGCATGCCAAATATCTCACGGGCGTCTGCGACTCGTCGGCGATTCTGTCAGATCGCGTCTTTGCTCATTCACATTGTCACTCGCGTGAACGAGCACCGATTTGCCTGTGATTTCGGGCATTTGTCGGCGATTTCTCAAAACCTGTCGGCGAGCCAAAATCGGGGCTAAAATCGTGCAGTCTGAACTCGGCATAAGCTACATGGGAAAAAACTGCATCGGAACAGCACGGCACAAACAATAACGTGACGGCTTAAACAGCAGCAGGAGTAAGGCCTATAGCCTAGCCTAATTCATTTCTTAATATTGTTTGCTAGAAACACCAATTTATCAACTTGATCTGGATCAAGTGCGGCTCTCTTTTTGTTCCCCGCTCGGAGCGCGCACACGTGCCTGGCACACACAGATTTGCGCGTCAATGTTGAGAGAAGTGGTATCTACGGTGTAGCTGTAGAACCCAAAATATTTCCAGACTCGACTTTTTAGATGAGTTGAGGTCGTAATTCTCCGCTCAGGCTGTCGTTCTGTGCGTTATCTTCCATTTTCAAAACAGGGAGGCTATTATTCGCTTGATTTGGTCATGGGCTTACGGTACATTACGTTTAGAGCGCCCGCTCCTGGATGAGATGGCAAACAATAAAAAAAAAAAAAAAAAAAAAAACGGTCTAATCATAGACTGTTAAAAATGCGCTAAACATGGCACTTTAAAAACCGGATAGTTTATTTATAGTTCGAATACGGATATTTCACGTCATGTTCGAATGCATATTCGAATATCGAATAAAAAGTGACAGCCCTATTGGTTACCCACATTCTTCAAAATATCTTCTTTTGTGTTCAGCAGAGTAAAGAAACTCATACAGGTTTGGAACAACTTGAGAGTGAGTAAATGATGATAGTTTTTTCATTTTTTGGGGGTCAACTGCTACTTCGCTTTGCTTCGTAGACAGAGTCTGGCATGGCATAGTTGAAAAGTGTTTTCTTTCTCGCGCGGGGGGCGATTGTCTGAAGTATAAAATCATTGGTTACCCATAAGCCAATCACATAAAGTTTGGTTATGACGTGTGTTATTCGCTAGCTCAGCCGCATCGAACTGCCACTGTAAACACATGTATGATGCGAAATAACGGAGTGAACATGGCTGACCGAGTTTTGCTGCCTCCTTAACCTGATCCTCCATGAGTGCAACCAAGGGGGACACAAGCACAACTATCGCCTTGCCGGCCTTTGGCCTGCCCAGTTTTTTCGCTGACGATCGGTAATATTTGATAAATTTAACTTTTACCAAAACCTGTCGGGAGTAGGGCCACGACATCACCTCCATTCAAAATGTTTAACAAACACTCTTCTTGTTCGGCCTTCAGTTTGGAAAAGCCAGGAATATTCTCCACAACAGAGCGAATTGCATCCCGTGTCTCCATATCCGCAGTCGTTTACGATTTCCCCAATCTTAAACTCGGCGCTTAGCGACTACGTCACGGCTCTCAGCCTGCCCTCTGTTCGTTGATTGGCCGGCTGTTTTCAGGCCGGAGGAAAACTGAGAGACATGTCGATGTCTCAGACTGAGCAGAAGCGAACTGAAATAGAGCGGAAGTACGAAGTCTGACGTAGTCAGGCTAGGTCAACTATCCCTTTAAGTAAAAAATTATGGTAACTCTTTACAATAAGGTTCCATGATTTGTTAAATACTCCCAGTGGTAAAAAAAAAACAAGTTTTTAATGTTGTTTATGTCTTTGTGGTGTTTTTAATATGCTTTAAAATATATCAGTCAACTGTGTACCAGTTTATGCCCTCTTTCTGTTGGCTCGTCTTCTATGCTCTAAAAGTTCTAGGGCTTTGTTAATGTTCCCATACTTAAAGTTGCCACAGTCATTGCATACTTTGCATGTGCTGCCCTTTATTTGTACCATTGTTTATTTGAAATATAATAAAGATATTGTTTTGATAAGTGAGATCTGATTGTAGCCCTTGAAAACCCAAAAAAATGAGTGCTTGAAAAGTCCTTGAATGTCCTGGAATTTAATTTTACAGTATCTGTGCGAAACCTGCAATTCATTACATAACATCAGCTAATGGGACCTTATTGTAAAGTGTTACCAAAATGAGTATCTTCAATTGTATTCTGACAGAGATGTTTTCAAAGCAAATGCATGTTAAGAACTGTTGGATACCAAGGGGAAATCTAAAATTATTGAAGTGTTTCCAGATAAATGTTTTTTGAGTGACATCAGGGGATCAGCTACATTGTAAACAGCTTTTCTCTAGTCCAAAACTTACATCAACATGTTTTATTCCCAAATTGTTTTTGAAAGACAGTGAGGGATCAATAACTTATCATGACTCAAAAATCTCATTTTGTTTCCAAACCTGCTCATTGTGCAAGAATGAAACGGTCTTGCGTTAGCCCCCCCCATGTTTGGGTTTACAAACCACATTTTACTGGAACCGGGATTGATTTCTTTTTAGTTATTGTGTATTGGATCTAATGTGTGTGTACTTTTTTTTGTACGGTTCACTATTATTAAAAACTTGTATGTGTTCTCTGTTCTTTCAGGTTCACCCAAATGGAATGTGATGGTCATCTTGCACAATGTTTATCAGAGATGCATGACGATATTATTTGGTGATGATAATGAAATTCTATTATTTTTGGATACCTGTTTTCCTTAGTAGCTTTATGTTGCATGTGCTTGCAAAATATTACTTTAATATTTTGATTGCTGTAACCAGAGGACCTGTTAAGTATTTCTTATAAAATATGATAGAAAAACAATATGCATTATGCAATAAAGACAGTGTTCTCTCACAGACCAGTGTTGTTTTTCTTTTTCTTTTTTTCTTCTCCACACCCAGAAATCATGAGACAGGAAATGTGAAGTCATTACAATGAACATTTACTGATTTACAGTTGTTATCTAAGATGCTTAAGACTTTAACTTCATAAAACCAAAGACATGTTCACATCTCTCTCGCTCTCCCACCCTCAGCCCACAGAAACTCTACTGGAGCTTTCATTTACAATAATTTATAAAAACAAACACTTCAAATATAAAAGTATTCCCCTGTAGCACATTGATAAGAGCGTCATTTGCTTTGGACTCAACATATGGAAAGAACTGAAAAAGAAAGGAAAGCAGAAAACAGCTTGCGACGGCTTTTTGTATTTGGCAGATTGATAAATAACCAAAGTTTCTTGCTTAAAAATGTTTTCAGGGACAGGAACTTGTATTTGAAGTTTGAGACTAGCTGTTGGGAGGGACACTGGATTCAGAGATCTCTTATAATGGTGCAGAAACAGATTTATTTCTCTCTTTTTGTGAAAATTCTTAAGGGTTAAATTACAGATATTTACAATTATGCTTAACTCATTCCAGTTCAAATATAAACATGAATAAAACCAAAACAAAGGACAATCATAAATCTGACTGGTCCACGTGGATTCTGTACATTAGATTGAGCTGGTGGAAAATTAAGTTGATGAAGATGGTTTATTACTTTGTAATACACCATAGTACCTGTTCTCAAACAGCTTGTAAGAATAATCGTCGGTTTACAGGAATGAAAATGAAGGAGAATTTAAAGTCAAATAATGTCATGTAGGGCCATCGTTGTGTTAAAAACCTGAAAATTTGCACCAGCAATGGCCCTATCAAACTATACTTGAATGCCACTTGTTGGCAGTTTGCATTCACCTGAAGTTCCCGTCATAAACAATCCATTTATCATTCATAAAGAGTGGAAATTGTGTGGCTGTTTCTGTACCAGCTTTTCATTAGAGCTGAAAACATGGTGGGGTAATCTGGCTTCGCTCTCTGCCTCGTTATCGTTACGTTCGTCACGCTTGTTATCTCCTGGGCCGCTCTTTGTTCTTCGCCCGTCTGCTAATCTCACTACTGTCTGACACAAAAGCAGCTAATTAATCCTGTTAACATGGCAGCACTTCTTCACACAGGTCTGATTTCTTCAAAGCATTCACATCTAAGAGTGTCGTCTTCACTCTTCAGGAAAAAAGGGAAGTAAAAAAAACAAAACTTGGGAGATTAAACAGAAAACATATCTAGTTGCTTAATAACACCCTACTTTTATCACTGTGAGGGATTAATCAGACAAGCTAGCCTGTGATTGGCTGTTTTTATTCTTTGAAGGGAAATTATGTTTTGAAGTCAAATTTAATGGGCCTGGTGCTTTAGTTGCGTTTCCCTAGTGGAAAAGTGAGGAGTGTACGACTATGTTCGGAATAGCATACTAACATGATACTCTCACTAGCTTTGCAGTGTGTATACTGTGCACAGTGTGCATGGGATACCCAGATGATCTACTACATTTGCCAAGACACACACAGCGCAGAATATTGCATCCCACAATGCAATGCGCACAACTTGACCTTCAATTTACATCTCTTTTTTTTTTTTTTGGCTCATTATTTTGTCAAACAGCATTTTGACATCGCAAGATACCATGTGACAGTGTAGCATACTGATGTTTATCGAAAATCATTTCACCTACTATTAGTAAAAATAGTAGAATACAGAATATACTACAACTAGAATTCTATTCCGAACATAGCCTGTCATAAAATTAGATAAGATTAGCATTCTGAGCTAATTGTGTCTCATATTGAGTGTTGTAATGGGTTGAATTTGGGCTTTGAGGTCATCTGAGATTCACATCACTGTTGCACAATTTTACCACCACATCACACCAGAAACATGATGTACAAACCCCTTGTTTGTGTTCTCTCGCCCTCCACAACATCTCAACAGCACGTTGACAGATCACATGAGTACAACAACACAAAACCCTCTTATCGGAGGGAGGAGCAGCCATTTGAGTAATGTAGTGTGCAGTTGTAAAGAATGCTACTGTAATATTAAACCTAGGCTCATTGGAAAATCGTGCCTGTGGCAATATTTATGCAAAATGATATACGTTGCTTCTTGCACGGTTCGCGGCAATTTAAAAATGAGTTGCGCTAAAAGCGATTTCAGTTTTATCAGAGACAGATGAATGTGAGTTTGGCAACGTTTTATTATGTTGGTTCTGAATATCGAGGCAGTACGGGAATGAAATGTCTGGTGAGTGGAGCAAAAAGGTTAATGCTCTGTTGCGGCGTTTGAAAATAACAACCGTAATTTTAACTTGCTTCTACGCGTCTTTGAGCTCTTTTATCTTGACTTGTGTTTCACAGGACTCGTACACATCACATACGCAATGCGGTACCAGGTGAGCTAGCAAGCAAGCTTACTACATCAGAATAGCCATATAGAGCTGCAGTGTTGTGCTAGTTACTAAGAAATAGTAACTAGTTACAGTTACTAGTTACTTTGTTCAAAAAGTAACTCAATTACTTTGTTGATTACTTACACCAAAAAGTAATGCGTTACTGTTAAAAGTAACTTTTTAGTTACTTTTTTAAAGAAAGTTCTTAAATGTTCCCATTAATGCCCTTTTATGCGTTATGGTCTATACAAACACAAAACTGACTTAAACAGAAAGTAGTTTTTAAACACTATTTTATTTAAGTCAGACCAGCACAAACTGAATATATCAAGGATTTCTGAAATAAATAACAAAACAAGCATTTTTAAAGCTAGTGACTTGTTTGCTTTCTCAACATTGATATGTTCATGCAGCTGACAGTATACGTTTTTACCACTGTGGTTTTTACTGCATGAATTAATATTTGAGCAATACAAATGTACCTTGATCATTCTTGTTAGTTCATAGTAGGCCTACATTAACTAAGGAGATACAAATACATCTAACAATGAATGATACTTCTACAACATTTATTAACCATATTTAATGCTAAAATTGTTATCTTATTGTAAAGTGTTGCCATTTATATGATTCAAGCTTAAAGAAGATGGCCATATTTAAATATCGGCAAAGGCCAGAGCATTAAAATTACATAAATGTAGACCTATATTACATGTACAGTCTTTCACTTTATTTGCTTAAATTTTAGAACACTTGATTAGACTTGATGTCGGCTGCATGAACATATCAATGTAAGCAATCAATCACGTCACTAGTTTTAAAAATACAACTTCGCCGGCTAATGAATGCATAAAAGTGACCAGCTGGACATAAACTAATGCAAATAGATGGTAACAATTGCGACATAAAACATGTGGGTCAGGTCTGCGTGTGTTTTTGTCACATTGCTTTAATCGCTTGAGGTAAGTTAGCCGTTACTAATGTTATTCCTCTCAGACTCGACGGCAAGCTTCTTTTTTTTCTCTGCTGATGCAGCATCTAGTCAAAAAAAATATTATTTTATAATGATATGGCAATGTGTACTTAAGTGTTCTGTATTCATACCGTCTCGCTGTCTGTGTTTTAAATGCGCATCAAGTGCTCAGCGCTCTCCGTGCAGCTTGTAATCTCCGTGCTCGCGCTGCCTCACGTGTACGTAAACAACTCAGCCAGTGAGTTTGTTATGTGTCCTCAGGTGTCCTCTCGCTCTGTATAATGCTAGCAGTCTCTTCAGTGCTCTCGTACTGTGTAATGACAGCGCACACTTCTCAGCCGCTCCAGCAACTAATTAATTTTAAAAAGTAACGGACAACGCGCCATATGGTAACGGTAACGGAGTTAATCTATTTAAAAAGTAATGCGTTACAGTATTAGTTACTGTCAAAAGTAACTGCGTTACAGTAACGCGTTACTAGTAACGCGTTACTGCCCAACACTGGAGCTGATTATGTGATGCAAGCGTCAACATGTATTAGTTTACAAATCATGCACTATGGCAAAAGTGTTTTCAGGTCGTAACATAATATTGTGCAAGGAACTGCTAGAAAATAAGTCTTTATTAATCAATAACCTGCCACTGTAATTATAATTTGTGTGGAAATGAATGAAAGTTGTTGGTGTTTTACTGCCACTAGTGTTCATTTCAGCTGGAGTTATGCAAAAATGTAAGTAGAGGCAGATTTGTCCAATGAGCCGAGGCTGGTAATATTACTGCCAGTCTGATGTATTTGGGCTTTGTGATTATTCAGTGTCTAACCTTCATGTCTTGGTTTCAACATATGTATCAGTGTTTATGTTAAGTATAAAAAAACTAAACAAAACAAAAAAAAACACCTGCACATTTCTCATTGGATGGTGCATTGGAAAATCAACTCTGATCAAACATGGGGTTCAGAGCAGTTTGGAGCATGGTGAATTTTGGATCTTTGAGGCACTTCTTCAAAAAAACACATTTTATCTCCCATTTACTCAGTAAAATCAACACGGGTGGTTAAAAGCATGTGGTTTGAAGCACAGCTACCCACTGTTTAGGAAACCATCATGGTCATGAATTAAAATGTGCCACTTTGCATCATAGAAGGCATCATAAATTCTTCGATTGGCTAACTACACTATAATACAACATTTACCTTTAAACATTATACATTCTTGTTTCGCTTGAGGACGCACCTCATACAAGATTCAAGAGATTTAAAAAAAAAAAAAAAAAAAGTCGAACAGAAAATAAAAAGTGCACATTAAGTTAGAACTGTCATATTCAGCTAGGGTTGATGGGAAATGTAGTCTCTGAAGGACGCAGGCACACATCGAGTCCCAGGCAACAGTGCGCGCACATTCACACAAACACGGGTGTCAAAATTAAAGAGGACGCTGGGAAGCAGGAAGACAATCAACAGCTGAAATATGGGGAATAGTTCTGAGTTTGTTTTCTGAAGTTCCTCCAGTTGTTCTTCTTCCAGTGTAATCCTAAAATAACTCGGGGAGGGTCCAAAACTTGAAGTCTTAGTGTTGCTTTTTGTCTTTAACGCAGTTTGAAGGAAAAATTCTTCTCTGTGAACACATAGTCTGAGTTAAACTCAGCTGTAGAAGTCTCATGGAGCTGCAGGCGGAGAAACATCGGCCGTATTGTTCTTCCCTCATACGGTTTCTTCAGTGGAGAGCATCAGAGGATTAATGTACTCAAATCCCTCAAACTCAGACTGGTCTATTCTCTTAATCACATCCCTGAGGAGAGAAACCAACATTATTATTGACCGAGCTACAATTCAACTGTACATGCCCCGCACTGTGGCTTAAAGCAAAGAATGTGGGGAATATTTCAACAAAAAACAAATTGAAAGCTAAAGTGCAGAGGGTGTAGTTTTTGATCAACTGAATTTCCGATAGGTGCTAATAAGCATTGCAGGGAAGAACTAGTCTTCACATCTTTTACATGTACATTTATTCATTTAGCAGACACTTTTATTCAAAGTGACTTACAAATGAAGAAAACAGCAAAGAGGAGGCGGCAATAATGCGAGAAGAGCCAACAATACAAAGTTTCAAACATTGTCGAGAAGAGTATTTTAAATATGTGCCCAATTTGACCTTCTATTTCCAGTGTGATTTTTAATATTTCTCTTTGTTCAACAATAGATTGAATTGGAAAGAATAGAGCTATTTTCCCTACAAAATTAAATTAAAAATGTACAATAAAAGTACTTTCTTGGGGATTCAGCACCAAATCAGCATATTAGAATCATTTCTGAAGAATCATGTGAAAACTGAAGACTGCTGAAAATCATAGAAATTAATTACATTTTAAAATATATTAAAACTAGAAAAACAGCTATTTTAAAATATAATTCGATTTCACAATATTACAGTTTTTACTGTATTTTTAATCAAATAAATGCAACCTTGGTGAGCATAAGTGACGACTTTAAAAATATTCAAAACTTACTACCCTAAACATTTGAATGGTAGTATATGAAAATATCTGGTATGTTACAAAAAAAAAAAATCAGATTTTTAAGATTGCATCTATTATTATTGTTATTTCTTAGATTCTGCAGGGAAATATGTCAACTTATGAGCACATCTGTAAATGCAACAGAAATAACATCAGCGTCAAGGGGCTGGTTAACCACAAAGGGGGCTTTAACTACAGCAGTGGGCAGACAGAATTACACTAGAGTACAACTGAGAAATTCAGCGGCGTCTTTCTCCTCTTGGCTATTTTTTTCTGCACTGGCAACGATCCTTTACATGTCTAAAGAGATGGTAACATTCTCGCTGAAATCAGACCTCTTGGTTTCCAGAACCTCAGGAATCCATTGATCTATTTTATCAGCCTGTTGAGGATACTACACCGCTGTAATGCTCCACCTCTTATATGGCGTAATGCTGAGACGATTCAAAACTAGTTTATCACGTTCTGTCAAACACGGTCCATGGAGGGCAATTCTCCTCTCCAACAAGCTCAGCAAGAACTGATATTTCACCAGATCCGGGATCAGCGCCCAATTGTGTTTGTGCTGTGTCTGTTTGAATAAAGTCCCCAGAGGGCCACTTGACTGTATGTGGGTGTGTGTGGGGTCGAAATGCCTCCAGAAAGAGTGAAACCTAAAATAACATGAATGACACCTCTATGCCGTAATATCAGGCTCAGGTTTCAAAGGGAGTGCAGGGGGGAAATGTGTGTGATGCCACAGAGGAAGAAACACAGCGAGACGGACATTCTGGGCACTGACCAAAATAAACAAGCCTCTTTACTGCACAAATGTTTCTTTAGAAAAGGATTACAAGGTGGAGCTTAAAAGACTTTGCACAAAAGGTACACAGCTTTTTGAACAAAACTCCAAACTGATAACACTTCTAACACAGCTGTTCATTTAAAGCCTGCGCTTTCATTAGGGCTGTACATTTATTTTCACATTTCGTTTCAAAACAAGATTATTGTGACGGGTAATGAGAACATGTGGTTAATGAAAGGACATTACTTTAAATGAAAGGTGTGTGTAGATAAAAGACATATGGTGCAATTACAAATGTACTCTATCAAAAGATTGGGGTTTGTACAAGCTTTTGAAGTTTATGAAAGAAGTCGCTTCTGCTCACCAAGGCTGCATTTATTTGATCAAAAACACAGTAATATTGTTAATATTGTTACAATTCAAAATAACAGTTTTTTTTTTTTATTCTAATATATTTTGAAATGTGATTTATTCCTGTCATGGCAGTTTTACTTCAGTTTTTACTGTCAGAAACATCTCTTCTTATTATCATAAACAGTTGTGCTTCTGTTTCAATCAAATTCTGAAAAGAACAGGATATGATAGAAGTACAAATCTTTTGTGGCATTCTAAATGTCACTTTTGATCAATTTAATGATCTCCCTGACCCCAAACTTTTGAACGGTAGAGTACTTTGTGCAAATTTTGTGTAGTCAACTAAACTAGAAAATAATACACAGGGAATCCGAGTTCTTTTATAAGTCGTTTGTTTGAGTGTAAAAGGGAATCGTGTCTCTAGTCGCAATGGATTCATCCTTTTCCGCTGGGCTCTGAGACACATCCCACTCTGGACGCACATTCCTTTAATCCAAAAGACTAAATCTCTTACAAGGAAGGATCCCCCCCCCCCCCCCCCCGCCCGCTTTTTTCGTCTGCCAGATCAGTCAAACAAAAAAGGCTTCCATCACTTCCTCCCCCTCCTCCTCTCCTCCACCGTGTGGGACGTCATGCTTTTCCAGAGCTTGCTCTGCTTTTGAAGTGTCTGGCTGCTGCGTTTCTTTGAAGCCTGCTTGGAAAATCTCGTATTGAACTAAGAACCCGCCGTGGCTCTATAGATTACTGTCTGTCAGTTCATCTGACTGCGGCCCACTTGCGCTTCTGCTAATTATGAGTGACAGGTTTACCGGCAAATTGACTTCAATCGGCTTGTAGACTGCAATGATTGTGTATTCAGCGGTTAGTGTTCATATAGTACGAGGTGCATCTTGGGCTTCTCATGGAGAGCAAAGATATCAAATCACCTCAAGACTTCGGATGACCTCATTCGAAAGCATCACACCATGTCCTAACCAGACACGATGCGATTAGATTCCAGAGACAAGCAATGTGTCTGTCCACACATTAAATAAAGGCCATGATCAGTGCACAAGATTATCATTGTTATACTTTCTATGTTGTTGTCACAGAAATAGAATCATTGTGTATCACTGACGCGGCTGGTTAGGGCAAAAACTCTGATCAACATTGAAAATACACCTTTTATCGTGTGTCGCAGAATGATGTCGCATCTGATTAGGACACTGTGTTTGAATTTTAATGTTA